CCGGCAAGAAGTGCCGTGCTGCCAGCGTCGGCCATGGGAGATCGTTGCCGGTCCAATAACATGAGAGCGAAGCGGGCTTGTAAAAAGGTGGGCAGCGGATCCTGAAATTGAAGAAAAGATGTCTGAGCCTGTAGATCCTCGGGGAGACCACAAAGCATCTGAAGGACAAGTTGGTGTTGGGACACCGGGGCATCGACATAGTCTAGCCAATCGGCAAGATTTTGCAGGTGTTGACAATAGGCAGCCATGCTGGTGTTGCCTTTGACGGTGGTGCGGAACTCGTGCTCTAGTTGCATGGCACGAGCGTTTTTGTTGTCGTGAAACAGATCGTGAATAACCTTCCAGAGAGCAGAAGCGGTGGAGACAGAGGAGATAACCAGATCGGAGACTTCGTCGGAGATGGTGGACAGAATCCATCCCTGGAGGAGAGCGTCAAGTTGGAGCCATTCATCGTCGTCTTCAGAGAGAGGGACGACGGAGCCGTTGAGGTAGCCCTGGAGATTGAATCGGCGTACCAGGAGGAGAAAGAGGCGACTCCACTTCTTGTAGTTTGGTTGAGAGAGACTGAGAAGAACCGGGACATGGAGTTTGACGTTGGAGATCGTCGTGAAAGCAAGATGAGGAGTCTTGGCCGAGGTGGCGTTTGTGTTGGAGGTGACCTCGCTGTCAGCCATTGGAGAGAGGAGAGCCGGCGACGAGAGAGGAGAGGAGGAGAGAGGCTGCTGCCGGCGACAAGAGGGAGAGGCGGCGGCGCCGCTGGAAATGCCGAGAGGGAGAAGGAGGGCCGAGAGGTAGGGTTAGGGTTTGTGGGGTTTTTTTTGTTTAATTAGGCTCTGATACCATGAAGAATAATGATTTTCATTGATTGAATATCTTGTGGTTACATGTATATATATAAGAGGAGTCTCAATCCTAAACCAAGTAGGAGAGACAGAAGGAAACCTATACAAATAAGGTAAGGGAATAATACAATATATTAAATATATACAATATATTTAACACTTACTCCTGTCAATATATTCGCCTCTCTCCTACCACCAAAATTGTTTCCGTTTACAATGAATTTTTAAAAATAAAATTTGCAATAAATAGGACTAAAACATAATGACTTTCCTAATGTAGGACTTAAACTTTTTTATTCCCTAAATAGGACTTAATAATGACCTAATGGAAGGAATAATATCCAGTAATGATGGGCATTTAGTTGAATAATGACTACTTGATAATGACCAAAGGTCGGAAATAAAAACATATGGTCTTATATTGGGAAAGCCATTATGTTTTAGTCCTATTTGGGTAATTTTCTCTTTTTAAAATACTTAACATGGATATAGCCTATAAGAATTGATGGGATTGAAATTGAATAAGAATTGAAATTATATTTAATTGATTTAGAAGGATTAAAATTCTTTAATTTTAATTTAATTTTGGCACTATTAATTCCAAATCTATATTACTCCGTATTAAACAACAGAATTTGAATTATTGTTTCTAATTTCAATTTAATGATTTTAATTTCGTGTGCCAAATGAAGCTTTAATTCTTCTGCAAAATTCTTTTCGGTATTTGATTTTAACGAACTTTGGAAAATTAACATTTTATTGTTAATTTTTTTTTTCAAAGGCAAAAGTTGTTACTCCCCCGTCTGGATATAATACTTTCATAAACTTTTTCATGGTCAAAAAGTTAATAGTTAATACACCAAGGTTCTCATTGGGTTCCAATATCATGAGATGACCCGGGGGCGCTCAAGTGTCCCGTTCGTAAAATTGACGATTACTACCCTCAATAACCCCCCAGTAAACCCCCCCACCCCGCCCCGACCCGAACACACCCCTTACACCGTCAATTGCACCCTACAAGTTGATTTTGACTTTGAAGTCAAATTTTAATTTTTTTTAAAATAACCTTCACACCCGTCTCTAAAATATCAATGTTTGGGTACTTATGGAGTGGATGTTGAGACACCCAACTTCGTTATAGATATTAGAAAATTTTGTGCATTCGTCCCCGGGTGTAACTTATGTGGAGAGTAATATTGTAGTCTAGTCTTTTGACAAACCATCTCATGTCTAGTACATACATACAAAGACCGATAACATTAAATAAACTTCCAAACTATCGTTGTTGTCAGGAGTCGATCATGAAACTTTGGACTTTACACTTCTCGTTCAAGACCATCTAATCTACGGGTGTTGGCATGTTGTGGACCACTACGTACTAGCTAGGAGATAAAAACAATTCAAAGAGGTAGAGGAGCATATATAGCATAGGTAGTATAAGTTTGACTGTGGACACGACATAGCACCGTACGTTCGTATGTATGTATGTATGTCGATGGGGTGGGGGGGGGGAGTGGTCGTCGTCGCGTCCTTATCACAATGAGAAATACAGAAAATAATAAAGGGTACCCTGCCCTGCCCGTATCGGGTGGGGATGCAGGATGCGGGCAGGCACGCTGCCCTTGTGTTCCGACGACGGGCCTGGCATTTCAGGCATTGGGTTTTTGGCACATTTGCTAATTATGGGTCGACAATCTCCTCACCTAAGTGCAGTAATAGTATAGTACTACCCC